CCAAGGTCACTTAGAGTCGCATAAAAAGGCCTCACAAAGAATCCATTCATCCTCATAAAAATAAAAATCCGTATTAATTAACCACGTGGTAGAGATAAGAATTTGAGAGCTTGATTAAATCATTAGCGCCTCTGAGCAGTAGAGTAGAGCTAGGAGGGGAAACACATTCAGCCTGAAGATTGAACTCTGTCTGCCTGCCAGGATAGCAGAAGCACGTCTGTACTGAGGTGTGTGCTCTGTGGCCTGGATGGAAGCTGCGCTACAGTCTGGGTAGGTATGGGCAGGCATGGAGTTTTGTCATTGATAAATAAATATTATTTATTTACACAGGAAAATAAGCTACATTGCAGCTGTGGCTGCTTGGAAAGCAGGCTGGTGGTTTGCACTAGGCAGCGGCTGTCGCTTAGGGAGGGTGTAAGGTGTGCTTAGGTGTGTTCAGTGAAATAACTGCCTTGTACTTTCACTGGGTGAGACATTAACCTGAGAGCTGCCCACATGGATCAGCACCTGCAGTATCTGCTTGTGTAATGCTTCTGCATATTAATATGGAGACATTCAAACAAAGCAAGACCAAATGTTCTCATCCTAACCATCTTTCTGTAACCAACCTCACAAGCAAGTTCTCCAAATCAGTAGCTGTAGTGTGTTTGGCAGGAGCTACAGCTGCAAGAGTCACTGGCGTCAGACAGAGTAGTTAATATTTGCTTTCTGTCCCTTCTCAAGTGCCAGCAATACCAGCCTTGCCTGCCTGATAAAACTCAGCACAGCTACTCAGTAATCTCTCTTAGGTAATTGGAATGGCTCCCACATGTGTATTCAACCAAAGGGTGTGGCTGAGTCCTGTGCTAACATGAAGCCAGTATCTCCAAGCTATTTATGTCCTCCATGTAAACATTGTGACCTTGATTGGTCTGTGTGGTATGTTTGCACTTAACTTCTGTTTTCCAAACAAAGCAGAATTTTGAGATTGCATTTTTTTTTTGTCCATGTCTTTAAGACTGCCTTTTTCTTACTGTTCACAGAAGAATAAAACAATCCAGGAAGTGGGGGAAATCAACTGCTTCATGCTCCTGCAGGACCATAGTATTGCAGATTAGAGGAGGACTGTTGAAAGATGTGTTAGCTACAGGATGTAAAACAGCTCTTGACGCACATAGTGCATGGATGTTTTTCTCGCCACTCACCTGCCCAGTGAAGCAGAAGGAGATGGGTTGGATGGTGGGGTTAGGAGCAGGAGGCTGTGTTATCCTTAGGCAGCTTGCACCATGAGATGATGAAGCTCTGCACAGCAAACCCTTCACATTGTCTTGGATGGTGAAAAGCCACCCAGGTCTGGCATTTGTGTTTCCCAAATTCACAGAGCATAATAAAGTGTAGGACATTTTTCTCTGAGTGGCATTTTCTTATTCATGAGCAGAGCAGTCAAGATCTTTTTTTTTTTTTTTTCCCCAAGGGCTTGGTATTTATGGTATCTTTCATCCTGCCCAGCCTGTAAAAACATACATAGTCTATTGTTGAGTAGTCTTGGACTTGCTGTACGATGTCAAACTTGCCATCACATTAATCTTTTGGGCAAGAGTGTGCTTTTAGAGGGAGAAGAGATCATCCGCTCCCACCCTATCTCCCCATGTGTTGCTAATGTGTTGGCTCTTGCAAGCTGAGGGCCTGGTCAGACTCCTGCCACCTCTCCCCTGCAGTGGGAGGATTTACCCCAGCTGGGAGGTGGGCAGCCAGTACTCCTGCTGCCACCTTGCCCACCACCTCCTTCCAGGTGTGCGTCGTGCATGCTGCCCTGCTGCCCACTGCGCTGTCTTCTCCTGGCAGGGCGGTGGGCCGGTCTCAAACAGCTGAAACAGGGCCATGTCCACAGGAGCTCTGAGCCCCTGTTGCCATGACCCCATCCTCTGCTCTGGGCTGCCTGACACGACCCGTCCTGCCACAACTGGGAGAGCAACTTGCTCTTACTCCCTGCTTTACACCTCTCCTGCCTCTCGTGGCAGGCGGCAGGGAAGCAAAGCCCGAGAGGCAGAAGTGCCGCAGGCCGACGCTGGGGTGGCTGTGGTAGCCGTGCGTGGAGGGGCCAGTGTCCTCCTCACAGGGCTGGGAGAGACCTGTGGTTGGCGGTGGTTTGGGCTGCCAAAACATCAGCTTTCCTAACTGTATAATCTTGCCCTCCCTCAATTAATAGTCTATCTGACCTGCTTTGCAATGTCTGGGCTCTTAAAAAATAGTGCAGCGTTCAGCGTTTTTGTTCAAATGGGGAAGGAGGAGTGGATGAGCTCCCTGCCGCAGCTTCAGATGGGCCCCTTGTGGGGGTGGTAGTGCTTTTTGGCCTGTTCTTTGGGAAGCCAACCTCAACACTTGCAGTCAAAGCTGAGGTAAGAGAGAGAAAAAGGAGTTTTGTTCAGACCTACTCCTGTGAGTTGGTGGGACAGCTGCTGGGTCACCTGCCCGGCAGTGAGGCCTGACGTGATCTCAGGGGCCAGCACCTGCTCTTACCTCAGATCTGTATACAGACGTCCAGCAGGGATGTATGGCTTTGGTGGTGATGTGTCTTGGGAATGGGGTAGATTTTTGGGAGGGAGTGTGGGCTGGGGAGTCACTTGATCCACTGGGCTTGACCATAGATGAGACTGGGGAACTGATCTGGTCTGCCTCTGCTATTCATGCTCTGCTTCACCTTTTGGTGAAACTAGACTTAGTCTCTGCTACCTATAAGCCATGGAGAAAGGCTTTCTCCTCTCTTGATCTCTGTTCTTGTGTGAGAAACAGTATATTCCCCGGGTATGTCCTCTGATGACAGCCTAATAACCCTTCCTGGTTTCAGTTAGCCAAGACATCCCACTGTATGGTTTCACCCACAGATTTGCAGTTATCACCTAATCCCAGCCTCTGTCCTGGTCTCATCACCCAACTCTGTCCATGGCTTTTTCCAAATCTCAAGACAGATCTTGTACTGATGATGGCCTTTAGTCTTTCAAGGAACATTTAGGAATGGGTGGAGTTATTCTAGATTTATTGCTCTGTAGAATGATTTGTTCACACCACTGTTTGCATTTGCTGAGCTTTTGAGGAAACAGTCAAAGCTGCTCTTTGCTGCATCCAGTAGAAGTATGTCTTATGGTTGTAGAGGTCCTTGCGGTATCATCTCTGCAACCAAGAAAACATCAGCTCTAAAACAAGAGTTGAGAAAAACTATTTAAATATGACTTAATATCTGGAAGAGCAAACCTTAGGTTTTAGATGGATGCCATGTATGTTTGTGAGAAACAGTAATAAAACCAGATCATTTTTTCCATTAATTATTTTTTTTTCTCCCCCCCAGTGCAGCGAGAGTCTACGCAGAAGAAAACTTTTACTAGCTGGATAAATTCAATATTGGCAAAGGTAAGAAGGGGATTCCTTAGGAAAGACATGCGTTTTGCCTTTTTGATTTGGACATGCTGTATGGAGTCAAAATCTTTAGGAATAAACAACATTAATATAAATTTTTTTGGCACTCGCTGGAAAATGTAGCCCCTGGAAAACACTTGTTTAATAGGTGTAACAGCAGTGTGTTTGTGATTGTCCAAGGACATTTGTAGGAACCAGTTTGTAAGTAGGTGACAGTATCTTTCTTGTTGGTGTGGTAAAAGGTACATGTGCTGGATCGTGGCACACATCTTCAGATTTCATGAGGTTCTGTATTTATGATTCGTTTTGCTGTGTTTGAGTATTTTTCTGCTATGCAATGTAAAAACAATGGGGTGACCTGAGTGGCTGATAAGTACTAAGACAAACCACAGAGTTGGGTAAGTGCCCTTTAAGCTTCTACAAAGCAACTCATGCAGCATGTGCTGGGGCTTTGACTTGCTCAGGTTAAAATAAAATATCCTGGTTTGATCCCTCCTTGAGCAGAAGCTGCTGAGATCATGGTAGTTTTGTGTTGTCTACAAGCAGGTGAAAAGAATGAGGGTTTAGTTATTCAGCTCTATAGTAAAATTTGTACTTGGGGTGCACTGATTGGGAAATATGAATTAACTGCTTTTCTTAACTTTTTCTAAGTTTTGTGATCTTTTGCCACAAACTTCCTTGAAAAGTATAAATACATGAAAATGAGGCCTCAAATAACCCTTTTAAAACACAGAGGCAGAGCAAGGAGGAATTAGAGACAAATATAATAATGGGTGAATCAGTATGTGACTGATTAGATGCAGGATTTATCTTTCAGCTTACTGAAAAAAATGAAGGCTAGTAAACATTTTTTTTTAACAACAGTATAATCTGTGATGTTCTGTAGTGTTTTGAATTCAAAATCACAAAAGATGGTGTGACAATCATTGGAGTTTGTTTTGCAGCATACACCTCCGTATGTTATCTCAGACCTGTATACAGACATACAGCAAGGACATTTGCTTTTGGATCTGTTGGAAGTGCTTTCAGGTCAACATCTGGTAAGACAGAGTAATAAAAATATTACCTCAGTTCTTGAATCCAGCAAAGATTTCTGGGTATGCTTAATTGTAACCGTATGAATGATCCCTCTGGAGCCATAGTGCTGTTTCCAAGTAACTTAGTCTTACATGACTGACACTGAAATAGATTGAGATAAGTTGATCCAAAGTGATTTGTAAATCTTTGTAGGACTTCCCTTATCAAAATATAAAAGAAAATTAGTTTTTACAGCTGAGGATGTAACCTGTTCTTTTTGCTTCGCAGCCACGGGAAAAAGGATTTAATACCTTCCAGTGTAGAAGTAACATAGAAAATGCTTTGACATTTTTAAAGAGCAGATCAGTGAGTATTAACTTTGAAATTCACAATTAAAGCCAGTTGAGCTGGTGGACATTTTCTCTGTTAACAATGATCCTTTTTTTCTCCCCTAGCTCAAACTCATAAATATTCATGTTGCTGACATTATTGAAGGAAAACCTTCCATTGTGCTTGGCCTAATTTGGACTATTATATTTCATTTTCATGTAAGTATTTCATTGATGTAAGAAAGTTTCAGCAGAGGAGAAAAGCACAAAAATGTGTTAACTTACGTGGTTGCCAAATGAGATGAATTAGTACAAAACAGAACATGATTTTCTGACATCTGGAAGTGACAGCTCAGGGAGGAGATGCACCAGTGCATCTTTCCTGTGTCTCTGAGCTTCTCCAACCCAGTGGTGGCATTGCAGCCTGATGAACAGTATCTGGCTGCAAATGGTAGAAAGGAGAGAGACGGAGATTTTCTTAAAGTAACCAGTTAAAAAATAGTTTAAACTTTGCCTATCTGTGTAAGGCCTGCAATGATTAGGCTCCAAATGGAGCTCACATCCATCTACCCCAGAGGCAGCCCTCCTCTTCAGTATTGTCTGTGCTCACAATGTGTAATTATTGCTATTATTTTTTTCATAATGTGAAGGCTGTCATAGTGATGCTTCTTATACAAGAAACTGAGCATGCATCTTACATGGCATGAGGTTTTGGGCAAGTTTGAAAGCACAGGATCCTGCTTTAAACATGTTGTAGGACTGTAGAGGATGATGGAGCCAAACTGTCATCCAGCAAGGGCCCAGCAGTGAATTAGCATAGGTGCACTGGGGGTGGACTGGTGACAGGGGCTCAGGAGAGCACTACAAAAAAAAGTTCTTGAGTAATATTGTAGCCAACATTTTTTGTGGTAAGAGTACTTTGGTACTGAAGATCTTGTGCTGCATATAGCCTATGTACTATCTTTTTACCTAAATCAAGCTTCTCTAGCAGAATGTAGATCTCCAAGTTCTGTCAAGTAGGTTTTCCTGAACCTGGAGTGAGCAGGCAGGTTCTGAGCGTGCCTAATACATGACACGTCTCAGAGCAGGAAACAGCTGTCATGGGCTGCTGTCACTGGCAGGAGGAGTAGAAAAGCTCACTGAGTGAGCTTTTGCCATTGTTGGTACCCACACTATAACATGAAAGTCTTTGGATGAGTATTTCCTGCCAAAAAATCACCTAAAGAATATGGTGAATTCAGCATAAAATAGCTGAGGTTAAATAGATGAAAAAAAATCTGATCTGATCTTTGTGGGCAGAGAACTGCTCTTACAGCTGTCATTGAGTCCTTTCTAATTCTCTGTGGGTTTTTTTTACTATTGATGTCTTGGTAATTTTTCTCTGAAGCCTGATTAACTCTCCCATCATCTCTGATAGATTGAAGAGCTTGCCAGGACCCTTGCTTGTACATACAATCAGCCTTCACTTGATTGTTCAAGTGTTGTTGACTCCTTTCCAAAAGCAAGCAGATCAGCTAATAAAAGTGGTAAAATTAAGGAACGGTGGAAGATCTCTGCTACAAAGGCTCTTTTGTTGTGGGCAAAAGAGCAGTGTTCACTGTAAGTCCCCTCCAAGACTTATACATGGTATCTTACACGTTGTATTTATTGCTTTCCTCTAAATGTGGTGGTATTTTCTCCTGGTTATTTAACATTACTTAGTGACAGCTTAGCAGAAAATCCTTTAGATTTCAGTTGCTATTGCCAGTACTTTTAGCATCAATCAGGCCCTAAATATTTTGACATGAGCCCTTTAAATATAATAATGTGAAGCTAATCCTACTAATAAAATACCACTATGTAAATTGAGTTTGGCTTTTCTCTTTTAGGGGCTTCTGTGTGATAAGCCCAATGGAATGTTTATATGATTTCCTAGTTTTGATCCTCATGGCTGGCACTGCTAAACAAAGCTTCAACAATTTTATTTATTTTTTTTTAATAGAAAATGTAGGCTTTCTAGGATTCCTGCATCTCATTATTTTCCTGTCAAAACACTACATCATCCCCAAGAAAGACCCTGGTTGTAAAGTTTCTAGTCCCCAAGTCTAACAAGATGTTTGCTTATGTTTGATGTACAGATAGCTCTGTTGGTGTCAGTGGTCGCAGTGCATAATCTAGAGCAGACACGGGAATTTCTTGCAAAGGACAGACTTTAAATATTCTTCAAGAGAATTTCTAATACTTACCTCCAGAATGTTTCATATACATTTTACAGTAACATCAGCCCTTTCTTTCCAGCTCTTTGGTTACTTTATGTTCTGATATACTACTAATACTCCATGTTGTTAGTGGGAGATAAAGGCCTTGATCAGTGCTTCAGACACTTTCTGCTGGGAGAATGTTTTCAGGCAGTGAAGTTTTCCTTGTAGCTTTGTTTTATCAGGAGAAGATTGATCAGCATGTAAAAAACAGCTCTCTGTCCATTTAATCTTCTTCCTTTTGCTTGTTTTTCTGCAATATTGCTGTCTGTTTTGTACCATCCTTTCTGAACTATGTTTACATTGAATGTATTTTTAATCAGTGAATCCTTTTGGTAAAAGAACAAATCTTTTAAGTCCTGGCCCCTTGTTTTGTAACTAAATTTGATTACCTGAAGCCCCACATCTTTTTCATGGTGTAACACTCAAATATATGGCTTTTTTCTGGAACTTTGTCACAGAATTCACTGTGGCTTGTAGACCTGGGCACCTCACAGCACTGTGCAGACACTGCTTAATGGAAGATGTTTTACAGACACCAAGCTAAAGAAGAGAAAAACAAATACTTTTCCTGCAGTAATAGGTTACTTTTAAGATCTGGATTTTTCTAAAATGCCAGAGGTGATTCCAATACTCAATTCCCTTACAAACACCTTACACGTTCTTCAGGGCTTTGCTTGTTTTTCCATCCCATAGAATGCATAAATATTGAGCACAAAGGCAATGTCCAAAAAGGATATTGGATCAGCAGGGCTTTATCTTCAGAATGTATGATAAGATAAAAACACCAAGTCATTTTCCAAAAATAGTATAAAAATATATATTTATAACAATTGGTAGTACTGGCTCTATTGTTGTCTGACCCAGCTTCTGCAAAAGTTCAGTGGCAAGGTTCTCTATAACTCCTTGGATTTGATTCATACTCCATTTTACTCAATTTCTATTTTATTTCTAAATTTGTACTGAGGACATCTGAGGAAACAGGCTGTAACATTTTGTTTCTAATACTGTGGGGACAGACACGGCTCTGTCCAGGTGACTGACTTCAAGTCGAGCTGGCGAAGCGGAATGCCTTTTCTGGCCATCATCCAAGCCCTGCGACCAGGTCTGGTTGATTTGGAGAAGGCAAAAACTAGAAGCAATAAAGAAAACCTGAAAGAGGCATTCAGAATTGCAGAACTGGAGCTGAATATTCCACGGCTTCTTGAACCTGAAGGTAAATGATCTGCCTTTTTTTTTTTTTTTTTTTTTTTTTATCTCTCTGTTTGC